AAATAAATAAATAAACGGGCTGTTATTTATAGATTTTTTCATGAGGCAAGCGGAAGCAAAGAAAAATCTCTCTAACGTTTTTCCTGTCACTGCTGAATGCCATAGTGTATTTTTTTTTTTTATTCCTCATGCTGCATAGATCATCTGAGGTCACATTGTGCGTAACTGCTTCAGTTAGGTGTTCCAAAGCCAGACATTTTAGGGAGACGCATTATGAGCTTTAGTTTGCACCAACAGTTCTGCTTAAGGCATGTTTTGAGGAATTATTCGATACAACAATCTTCCAAGTATTATTGTCAGTTATGAATCCAGACTTTTATTAATTGTGAAATAGCTAATATCAGCAGTTTGAACACTAAATTAGTATTTGATGCCACTGCATTGGCAATGTGACTCAGTATATTTGAATTATAGAGCTACATTGAACAGCATCAACATAAACAGAGGATGATGTGAGTTTATATCCCTGTTTAAAGGTCCAGAAGTACATTTTTATTTTTTTAAGTTAGCCTTTTACTTTCTGGATCCACGTGCAAAGGAGGTCTCTTTTAATGTAACATTATTGGATCACTCATCGAGGAAGTATTTGAGTAGTTATTTATGTTGGATAAAAGAGGGGGAGTTTACCAAGCTATTGAGAACTTGTTCAGAGCTTGTCTGCTTAAATATTTCGTTCCCAAACAAAGCCACCCATCTAGCAAGTTTACTGTTACCTTTTCTAACATAGGAGGTATTTATAGATCAGTGCTTCTTTATTCCTTCCATATGTCTGCATCTGTCTCCTTGAACCCGAGTTAGCCTCTGCAGATGGCCGTTCACACTGAGCCTGGTTTCTTCCTGTTAAAAGGGAGTTTTCCTCTCCACTGTCGCTAGAAGCACGCTTGGTGTGAGGGATTACTGAAGAGTCAATGAGTCAATGCGATCAGCTGATTTTCCTTAGATAGAAAACTTTGAATCAATATGTCTGGATGATATAAATAAACTGAAATGCATTGATTTGAATTTTCGTCAATTTTTAAAGCTTTCTTCATTTTGCTGGCTAAAAGCATCCGAGCATGATGCCTTCACCACCTTTAGAGACGCACCTATTATAATAATCTGTTCAGGTTTCCATGGTGAAGAAAATTCTAGATCAGGTAGCGGACAAAATCGACCAGATCTATAGGGGCAGATCTTTTCAGTCTGTTTTGTAAATAAATTAAAAATCTCTTGAACTGTAGAAAAGTTTATCTGTTTATGGGACGTCTGTTTAATAAATCCAGTCAGTTGAAACCCTTACAGTTGAATATTAGTTTTCAGGATAGATGTGTCCTTTAAACAGGATTTTTTGTTTTTAAGAGTTCCAATTCTTAACTTCTATTAACCTCATGTTGAATTTTGAGATACAAATGAGTGCATTCATACATAACCTAACTGAAAATTGACAGTAATGATGATAACATCAAAGTAAACAAGAGCTATGGTGTCAGAAAAGTATCAGGATCTATAGATATCCAGGTTGAAGTATCAGAATCGGATCTGCAGTAAAAATGTGGATCAGTGCTTCCCTAAACAACATTTAATAGTTTTACACCAAATAAAATGAAGTGAATTGAGCTGAATTATTAGGTGGAGACTTTGTGCAGATTAATAAACTGGGATTAGAAAGAAAACTCTCCCTAAATACATTTTCTTTTAAATCCTTTTCTACTTTTACTTCTATGTTCCTACCTGATAGATTTCTGAAGCTATTTTATAGATCTTTGTCCGGCTGAAGTAAAAATCAGCAAACATAA